TATATATATATATATATATACATAGTTTCCTGCGAATTCTGAATCCTGTGGAAATGGTGCCCCAAGAATCGTAGAAAGTGTAGGAAGTGTTTCCTAAAGGTCATATTTAGGTAAACAGTTTTGAATTCAGCTGTCAGTTGGTGTATATATAGACTAGCATGCACTATTCTGATGCAACTATTTGACAACAAGCAGGTGTTGACACCAGTTTACAGCAGATGCAGTGGACACCAGGGACAACTTGATCCATTTGGCTTTAATTGCAGCTTTCACACCTTTTTGACTCGGGTCTAATTTAAGAGACATCTGAGAGGAGTGCAGAAGTGACTGCTTTTTCATGCTAATACATTCATGAAATTGTTTTACACATGAATGCATCTGATAATGGAAGATTCTTGTAGTCTAGGATAAGTTAAGATAGCACTTTTTCTTTTCAGATTTAGTTTAGCGCCTGAAGGAATGCGTTAGTTCACAGGTTGTGAAATCTAAGGACACTTGATGCAGTTTGGGAGACACCTATGATCTGCAGTGGTATGTGTCGGTTTGCATGTACACGTCTGTTTGACGTGCATGCGATCCAGTTCACGATCCCTGGTAAGGATGACAGAGAATAAGATCTAGAAAGCACATGCATCCTAAAAAAAAAAGTCTTAAGCTTGTTTTTGTGACCACCGAGTACCCAAAATTAAATTGGAGGCTGGTGACTTCTTAGCGGTCATCGTCCTTGAATGCACTACGTAACGCATTTTTTATTGAAAAACACTCAAGTAATGACCTTTTTTGTGTGTTGAATTCATTTTTGTATTCGTTTAGGGACTCACTCTAATATAAGGAGTTTAAAATTCAAGAATGCTTTTTGTTCACTTTTAACCAATTTATAATTGATTTCACGTTTGTGCATGTTAAGTATTTGCATAGTTGGTCAAAGCGGATCTGCCTTTCCATTGTAAAAAAAAAAAATATATATATATATATATATATGTATTTATTTGTTGATCCAAGAAGTCTCTTCTGCTTACCGAGGCTGCATTTGTTTGTTCAGAAATATACTAAAACAGTAATACTGTGAGATATTATTACAATTTAAAATAACTGTTTTATTTAAAAAATTTTTAAATGTAACTTCCAGCGTCATTAGTGTCACATGAGCCTTCAGAAATCACTCAAATAATGCATTCAAAGCAAACATTTTAGGAAACAGTCAGGAAGATTTAGAAAACGCATTAAAAAGTTTTTTGTATGATATAAACTTTAATAAGACAACTCCCAATCCCAGACGAGGAAACACGAGAGGCGGAGCCACACATCAGTGACGCATGACGTCACTCGCCGGCCACGCCCCCTGAGAGCACAGATCCTTAAATACTGATGAGCGCCTTTACTACTAACACGTTTGTGTGTCTGAGACTAAACGATTACCAACATGCGCTGCCAGATGAGTTATTGCCTGCCATACTCTCCTGGCTCCTCTCCTACACATTCTGGAAGGTTATTATCATGCAGAGCACGATGCAGGTAAACGTTATGAATTTTTAACAGGATTGAAACGTGATGCCTTTTATTATTTTCCCGAGATAAACTGCTTTGGGTGGCTTTTCTGAAAAGACACTTCATTTCTTAGTTTTATTAGTATTGTATCATTGTTGTGAAAAATAAATGTGGATTTACTATGTGATATTATTATTATGTTAGATTAGTGAATGTTGGGTTGTGTTGCGGAATAAGCCTAAGGACGTGTACGCAGCGTTTGAGTTCATTAATATGAACGCATCTGAAAACGTGCAGGTTGTACGTTATACTAAAACTCTTCTGCGTGCGAAGTATAATTGTTTATTATCAGTTTACGTTAAAGCCTCGATTGTTTTGATGGTAGAAATCTAAGCAGCCGTTCACGCAGCGTTATTTTCGCTTCTGGCCAAGGTTTTTGTTAATAATTGCTACTTTTATTTGATATTTAGTTTTGTCTATTGGTAGTTGTGTTGTAAATGTTTGTATTTTGCAATAGTTATACCTTCATAACTTAACTGTTTATGCACAAATTCTGGATCTATTTCCATATGCGTAATGGAATATAATAATGGCAGGTTGTTTTGGATGTGGTGTATGTGCATGTCTGATTTCTCTCTCATCTCGCAGCATTCAACACGTGTATGATTTTATATGATACCTGCTGATAAGCACAAGTCATCTAAATTTACCATTCTGTGCAGGCAAAGTTGGCAGCTAGTTAGTTGGAAGTGTGATTTAACAGATATGATGCAACGAGCCTGACAGGACTTGAAAGACTATGCTTTAAAACAAAAAGAGTTTACATTGGGATCTCTTCTAAGGAATATTTCGTTGTTTTCTTTCTGCAGTGCCTCTGGCGCCAGCGTTGTGGCCATTGATAACAAAATAGAGCAAGCTATGGTGAGTATTTAAAAAAAAATATTCTTAAATACATTAATGCATTTATGAATGAATATATAAATATATATATATATATGTATATGTATGTGTCTACAAAATATAAGAGAAAAAAAACTTTTTGAAGTTTAATAAATGTCAAATAATTTGACCTTTTATGACAAGACAAGGTAATTAAAGTTAATATGGTGCAATTAATAATTCATGATATTTGTAAACAATACTTTCTGCCTTTTGAAAAATGATTAGGATGTGTACAACCTTTCACTTTTTATCTATTTATTTTTATTGACTTGTTGAATTTTAACTTATTGAAACTTATTGAAAAGTTTTTTTCAAATCCATATGAAACCAGAATAAAGATCAAGAGTACTTTTATAATAACTTGCATTTATCACGAACAGACTCGATGTAATAAATCCCATTGTTTGGAGAAAAGTTCTTCAAAACTTTGTAAAAAAAAAAAAAAAAACACTTTATCCCTAAACCATGTTATATTACACAAGTGCTGGTAAATTAAACCATATATAATTTTAGAGTTTTAAGCAAAAATAGATCTGATTTAATTTTTTCTTTCCATAAAAATAGCCACAGAAGCTGGCATGACACACACTCTCTCTCTCTCTCTCTCTCTCTCTCACTCTCTCTCTCTCTCTCTCTCTCTCTCTCTCTCTCTCTCTCTCTCTCTCTCTCTCTCTCTCTCTCTCTCTCTCTCTCTCTCTCTCTCTCTCTCTCTCTCTCTCTCTCTCTCTCTCTCTCTCTCTCTCTCTCTCTCTCTCTCTCTCTCTCTCTCTCTCTCTCTCTCTCTCTCTCTCTCTCTCTCTCTCTCTCTCTCTCTCTCTCTCTCTCTCTCTCTCTCTCTCTCTCTCTCTCTCTCTCTCTCTCTCTCTCTCTCTCTCTCTCTCTCTCTCTCTCTCTCTCTCTCTCTCTCTCTCTCTCTCTCTCTCTCTCTCTCTCTCTCTCTCTCTCTCTCTCTCTCTCTCTCTCTCTCTCTCTCTCTCTCTCTCTCTCTCTCTCTCTCTCTCTCTCTCTCTCTCTCTCTCTCTCTCTCTCTCTCTCTCTCTCTCTCTCTCTCTCTCTCTCTCTCTCTCTCTCTCTCTCTCTCTCTCTCTCTCTCTCTCTCACTCACTCACACACACACACACACACACACACACACACACACACAAAACAATCTAAGAACTTGCATCTGAAACATTTCATTGACATCGCTGTGCTCTCCTCCTCAGGATCTTGTGAAAAGCCATTTAATGTACGCCGTGCGTGAGGAAGTGGAGGTCTTGAAGGAGCAGATCAAGGAGCTCTATGAGAGGAACTCGCTTCTGGAGAGGGAGAACGCAGTATTAAAATCTCTGGCCAACACTGATCAGCTGACCCAGCTCACCTCTCAGCACAACAACCTCGGCAGCACTTCACCCCAACAGACAGCGGTCAACGCCATCCTACAGGAAGGAAGCAAACTCGTGGCCTTGCCCCCGCAACCCAACGTGTCCACAGTGTGAAGACCATAAAAAACATTCAATCTGCAAAGGAGATTTTGGTTTGCCACTTGCGGAGAGCCATGCTTCGTTATAAGTGTTGCTTGGCTTTCCCTGTATTAGACAATAATTTTGGGAGAAGCAAATTTGGCTCCACGATGGGTGCAGTAGCTTTCCGTGGGAATGGGCTGCTGGCAGGCGCGGGCGAATGCGAAAGAGTTCAGTAGAAAAATGGAGATTTAGCAGGAAGCTAAACGGCGATTTAGATCTGGAAACGGAGCGCAACTACCGTGGAAAGCTTGGGAGAGCCTACAGCATGAGTCCTTTCGTCTGTTTAGTTTTACTGTTTGCATATATTTATTAGAGGGCTGCTATTTTCATAATGTAAATGAACAATGTAACAGAGATCTATTATTTATATATATATATATATATATATATATATAAAGAAACGTTCTTTTGGTTTCTGAAATGTAAGATACTTGTTTAACAAGGCAATAATGTCCCCATGGCACAGTTCCAACACTAAAAGTGATTCAACAGTATTGCTGATACGCAGTCCTGTATAGTTGAGTTGGTTCGGGGTTGAATGTACATGTGTATAGATTGTGAAGTATTAAAGTATAGCCAGGTGTACAGGTGAGCAGCCGTTATCAAGTATTTTTCTTTCGGATTTTATTAAGTGTACTCGCTATACTTTCCCTAAGTACTTAAATTCTGGCTTTTCCATTCATTTTGTATTTTCAATTCGGGATGGGGGAAGAAGCTGTGAATTAGTTCGTACAATGTATTTGTAACCAAAGAAGAAAAGCGGTGTACATTTGTTTTGTAGCGCTCATTTTCTTGTTTGTTCGCTTGCGCTTTTTTATTTTTTATTTTTTTCTACTTTGTCTCCTTTTGTTTCTGATTAGCATGTGCTGCATGATCTATCAAGACTATTTTCTTACCTCATGTTTTTATTCGTCATAATTTAAGCAGTCTGTGAACCATATGTGATTATGGACGGTGAAGGGTGATTTTTGGAGGGAAAAAACCCAGTAACGTTAACAAAACGAAAACTAAAAAAAAGTCATCTGTTTTCATTTGCATGGTGTTGTAAGACTTGACATACATACAAATGTACACAAATGAATGCCGATTTATATTTCCAGGTGTAGTTTACACTGATAACCTTCAAAGAACGATAAAATAATCATCGTAATGATATCAAAGCCGCAAAAGTGTTCACCGATGTCATTTATGTATAGGGTATGTCCTCTGTTTTTTTCTTTTTTTTTTCTTTTGTGCCTCTTGTACTATGAATGCAGCGATCTGGTTTATTTTTATTCTTATTTTTGCCCAGTTTGAGCCAAACAGAAATATTGTAGTCACTGTACATCAGTCTTTTAGGTTTGCTTGTTTTTCTTTTTCGTTGAAGGAAATGTAGTATACAAGCAAAATGTATTGTACTTGATCACTGAGCCTTTGAGAATATCTTAAAAATACCCTTGTAATGTGCTGTTTTGAAAAGTTTAGTTTTCTGTCAGAAATAAATTACTATTCCATTGAGAACTAAACCATTTTAAATTGCTGTTTTCTTGTGCATAACTCACACAACAAACATTAACTGACATGAATTGTTAACTTGTTAAAAATGAGTTTCACACACACTTAGCTAATTAAATATGGACATGCCATAGACTTAATTAAAGGTTAATTAAAATGTATACAGACGAAGGATGATAACTATAACGACAAACAGTATTAAAATCATTCTAAATTTAACAATCCACACCACAACTGTAAGGATAATGACAGAATGATATAATTAGAATCACATTGACGGCCAATCAGAATCCACCCGACTTTAAAGCGCGTGAGCATTTAAATGTGGAGTAAGCGATTTCAGAGAAACAAGCACGCCCAACCCAAAATGACCACGCCCCTATTTTGATAGCCCCACCCCCACAAACATTCTATGCAACACAAGCACCTCCCCCATCGTGTATGGACACACCTCCTTATTGGCGATTGGTTACAACAAGTGTGTTTTGGCGCTCGGTCCGATCCACTTTCAAAAGTGGGAAACTCGACTTTCAAAAATGCCTACTGCAGCTTTAAAATGGCAGACGACAAAACCGAAGTGCCTACTTAATAACCATAACATTATTATGTTTTGCTGTGAACGTTAGTATAGTTATGATTCTTGGTGTGAACTGGCCTTAATTTCCATTTTTCCATTCCACTGCGCTATGTTTATTTTCTATGGAAATGTGCTAGATGAACGTTGAGTGTTGCGCTCGCGTCCCTTTGCTGCATCTCGCGCACGACACAGCGTTAAAATAAGTTCAACCTTAAAAGAACACATCTCGAGGCATTGCGTTTTCCCTCCACTCCACTGCCTCCATCTTACGTTTTTTTTGTAAGCAAAACCACAGAGTGTGTTTGACGTCATTTACAGACACTGCGTTCTAAAAATTCTAAAAAAAAATTTAAAGTTAAAAAGTTTAAAGAAGCGCATGTCTAGGCCTTGCGGTTTTTTTGTATTCTACTGCCCTAACTCCAGTTTGTAAATGCAAACAAAATAATGTTTGCGTTGTACAGCTCCATTCATTTCAACGTAAACACGCGGTAGATGGACGTATGGAAGCTTGTCCAGTAAGTTGGAGAATGAGGTCTCTGCAGAGCAAAAGTGGGCGTTTCTGAAATTGTGGGTGTTTTCAAACTGCTGGGTGTTTCCGAAATAAATCATGCAATGAAAATGATCCCCCTTACCTGACCCCACCCCTAAACCTATACATCACTATGACGTCAGCCAATCAGGTAACATGTTCGAAAATGCCCCTCTGGTTTGGCCACGCCCACCGATCTGGTAACTCCCAGTACTTTCCTGCAGAGATCAGGGGCAAGTTCAAGCTCAAACCGGTGTGCACCGTTTTGCTACGGTTTCTGGGTTGAACGACATATTTCCTGGAAACGGTGTGCAACTGGGTTTGAGATGCGTTTTCTCTTGTTTGGTGGGTGTGTCAAACATGTCAGCCCAATCAGCAGCAACATGTATATAAACCACGCGGTATTAAAGAGACAGCTCGCACAATGTAATTAACATCAAAATAAATTCACAAGAGCAAGCATTGTTTGCACATGTTTATTTACATGAAAGGCAAAATAACTGAAATAATAAGAGCACAAGTATAGATCTGGAACTTCTTTAAGTCTGTCTAAATATCATTTAGTAATTGCAATGTCTTCTGGTCCATATCCTTTCCTTAGGAAGGTGTGCTAGACACTGATTAATGTAACATAAAAATGCTATACATATTTATATATGTTGCAATTGTATTATGGAGGGACACTTTCATAAACTTTTCTATACCCCTCTGATTATATAATGGTAAATATTACAATATCATAGCACAACAACAGCGATCAGCAATAATGATAAGCCTAATACTAACAATAAAAATAATAAGGTCATATAGATCATAACACAGTCTCGGAGGTAAGAAGTGGATTATCCTTCACCTGAAATGTTTGTCTTTTCATCCTGAAATGCGAGGCAAATGTTGGATCACAATAATTAGGAACCACAGTTTCCACAAATCCCTTCACTCCATTGGGATGTTCTCTTTTACTCTGGACTGCAAGGGCAGTGACTGTAACATCAAGCGTATTTTGCAGTATTAAACACGTATTTATACAGATTTCATCAGGCTCTGAAAATTCTTCAGAAAGAACGCAGAATGGCCTTCTCAGCTGCCATAGCTGCAACTCTTGTGTCATCAGAACAGGGTTGTTCAACGCACCACCGTTTCCGTTTAAAAACGTTTTGCACCATTTTGCACCTGAACGCAGGCCTAAACTTGAAAGCATGAGGAACCTGCCGATCACGGCACCCAATCAGAAAGTAGCAGCAGTGGCCGCAACCAATCAGATGACAAGCTAGCGACAGCAGCGTGTAAATAAACAAATACCACGTTAGCAGCGACAGAACTCACATGAGTTGACATTTATGATCGGGAGTGAAGTTTGGCATTCAGTCTCCATAGGTTTGCTATTAACTGTAATATTAACAAACGCCAGTGTAATGCAACATATTTGAAATGAATTAGTAACATTTATAAGTAGCATCAGTACAGCTAGATTAGGTGTCTAACGTAAATTTACATCAACTGTGAACTGTGGGATATATTGATGCGAATAGTAACCAATAAATGACTAATAAGGGTTTTGTTTTACCCAAATATGACAATCATACCGGACAGAATGGTCAGTTTACGTGTAGCCTATTAGCAAAGTTTGCACTTTCTTCACCATGCAAACTCATCTTTATGCTGTTGTAGCCTATATAGGCCTACAGCAGGCTACCTAATCTAAATGTATATTATTTTTTTAGTATTTCTTTTAAAATGTCCATGTACACGCACAACAGCATGCTCTAATTAATACCTATTTAAAATAAACATGCCGATTTTCTTCTGAACCGCCCTCCGCTCCGTTGCGCTCGCACATTAGGCACGGATTTTTTTGTGTGCATGTGATTACAAAACGGAGAGGGTTTGCCAAATTTCGATTTATTTGAGTCCTGTTGAAAACATCCCCCCCCCCACCAACCTGAGCTTCATGCGGTAACATCTTAATTAGGCTAATTGGTTTTAATTGAGGCAAAATTGCCACATGAGATGTTTCTAAGCAGCAGTAAAATAACTAGAAAATGACCGCATTCATGTTGCAAGGTGCTTCAGTTTCGAAAAATAAAATGTCAGCAGCTCTAATAAGACAACTCAAGTCGGCTGGATAGCAGTGTGAATGCTGCAAAGTTCATCAGAATGAAGCGAACTCAACTCAACATACTAGCGCCATTATTCAGCTCAAATCAGTTCAGTTCATCACTTGCATGAGTTACATAAAAGCACATTTTAACGGTTAGGAGTCATTTAAACAGATACTTGTAATTTTACTGTCATATAGGCTAAGTATTGTTGTTGAGGACAGCTTATGTCTTATTAGATTAGAAGTTTTCACACTGATATGGCAAAAGAACTGAGTGGAAAACAAAAATACATGACAAAATAGGCTGATGTCAAGGTTAACGTGTTCAATAGAGTTATTATTTAAATATCTAACTAGTTTTTTTTTTGGATCACTGCTGCTATCTGCTGGTCATTTCCCTCAATTCGCTCTAAATGCCATCATATTACAAGATAAATATATAAACTTGAATTACTTTAATTGAATTTGAATTGAATTACTTTAATTTAGTTTTAACTTTAATTACTTACATTTCTTATTCTTTCTAAAAATGTATTAGTACAACAAAAAGCATCTATTCTATTCTATTCTCATCGCTTAGGACGGGTGTGTTTGTATTTAACTTCAGTTAAGCTTGGGTTGTTTCATGAATATTTTGCTTTAAATATGCTTCAATATTTAAATTGCATTTAAATGTAATCATAATTAAAATGAATGTAACGTAATAAATGAAACATAAAAATGAATGCAAAATAAATTGAATATGCCAAATAAATAAAAACGAAATCCTTGCTCTAAATATAATTTACATTGAATTTATAATTAAAATAAATGAAATATAATACATGAAATATAAAAGTAAATGCAAAAATAAATTAAATATACCAAATAAATGAAAACTAAATTATTCATTAATACATTTACATCCAAAGCGGCTTACAAATGAGGACAATGGAAGCAATCAAAATCAACAAAAGTGCTAATACTTGCTTCGAATATAATTTACATTTAAATATCAAATTAAATATAAGTGAAATATATAAAATAAAGGAAATATACCAAGTAAATAAAAGACGAATTGTTCATTCATATTTAGCTTTAAATACAATTTAAATGTAGTTAATAATTACAATAAATGAGAAATAGTTGGCCTAAATGAAATATAAAAATAAATGCTAAATAAATAAAACGTACCAATTAAATAAAAAACTAAATTTTTCACGAATGATTCTTTTCAAATACAATCCAAATTTAATGGACAATTAAAATAAACGCAACGAAATAAACAATATAAAAATAAACGCAACATAAATGAATATACTACCAAATTTTTAAAATAAAAACGAAATAAAAACTTTTCAAATTGTTCAGAATTATTTTGTTTTAGAGACAGTTCAGAAGTAATTCATTTTTCAAATAAACGTGATGTAATAAATTAAAAATAAAATAAACGCAAAAATAAATTAAACATACCAAATAATCAAAACCAAATTGTTCATAAAAATTCGATCTTAAATGTCATTAATAATCCAAACTAATGAAATATAATGAATGAAATATTAATAATGCAAAATCAATATACAAAAACAACATGAATGAAATATATAAAATAACAACCGTAGCTGGCGGTTTTACTAACTATTACTTAAGTACCTAATATTTGATCTAATATATCAATATATTATGGGGACATTAATATGTACTAGATTGGTCTGATACGATACAATCCTACGTTCGACTTTTATTTTGAAAAACAATCCGCATCCGCTCCTTCAGGAATGCGCATCCGGTTTATCTCAGACTTCACGCTCGTCGGTGTTGTTATGAGGGACGCCCAGTGGAAACACCTTCAGCCTGACCAGAGCTTTCCTGCGCTTAAACCCGACCTCAGCTCCAAAGCAAGCCGTTACCTGCGCTGGAGATGGACACATCCACGGAGGCGCAAGCCGGAGAGCGCAGGTGAGGTGAATCAAAACAGGAGCGTCTACAGCAGACCGGAGTTTGACAGCTAGACTCACAGCTCCAGCAAATAGTTTATCATCTCATACATAACGTTTATATGTATATACACTACCCAGCTTGTTTGCGAAGACGGTTATCGACTGCAGCTAAGTTAGCCGGCTAGTGCGTTTGGACATCCTACTATGGTAAAGACTAAGCTAATGAATATTAAATACGTCGTGGAACGTTTGCCCTCAAAGCGTCTCATCTGATTGGCCGAACTGTATATGTTAATATGTAAGCAGGAGAATCAGCCAATGGGACGCTCACGGAAGCGTTCGGTGGCGTGATTAATATTAATGAGCTTCGCCTTCACTATAGTGGGATTCAGCATCGGATGTTCTAGCAGCTTTAGACATGCAGCAAATAACAGCAGTCTCGTGACACGCTCGCATTTAGCTGGTAAATAGCAGACGTAAGCGCGAAGGTTCATTTTAAGCTGTTATTTGTGTGTGTTGTTTGCTCCTGCGAGCTGACTAGCATAAAACATCACAACAGAAACTCTCGTTATTGTGACTCGTAACTCTGATCTGCTGAAACATTTAAAAGAAGCACACTTTAGCGTACTAGTATAGTAGCATTAGTGTTTAGTAAACTTCAAATATTATTATTTATTATGCTTTATAAATATACATTTAAGTGTAATCGTAATGTAATGTTTTGACCTCAATGCAATGGCTTGAGTAGCTCTGGAAAGTAACGGATTACATGTAATCTGATTATGTAATCGCATTACAAAAATAAGTATATTATGCTTTAAAATGTTAATAATCAGATTACAGTTACTATTTTATGGATTACATGATTGCATCTTATTCACACAATGGCAGTAAATTATTAATAATTTATTGATTCACCCCAGTTTTTTAAATTTTTATAATGTGCATGAGACTAATAATTACAGAAGTTACTAAACACTAGAGGTCGACCGATAGTGGATTTTGCCGATACCGATAGCTAGGTTGGACCACACTGGCCGATACCGATTAATTAACCGATAGTTTTAAAATTGATACTGAACAAAAACTAAAGTAGTGCTAACTACTTAATTGTTAACACACTCTAACAATGAACAATACTTGCACAGCTTTCATTAATCTTAATGCTACAAATGGACTCTTATTTTAAAGTGTTACCATTTAATTTCAACTGTCATGCTTAAAGATGCACATCTTTAAATATATACACAAAGGCTATAGCATTAAAATTATATACATATGGATATTGTTTGTATACTCTCACACTTGAACTGCTTCTATTCCTGAACACTTGATGATTATTTAATCAAAATAAAAGCGCAGCGCTGAGTCTAGGAGAACTCACCGGTATCGCACACACTCCGGACACGTCGTGTTCAACTCGAGCAGCGGTCTAAAACAGTTTACTTAATCACCAAACGGACACAAGTTTACTTCAAGAATGAACAATTTGGCATGTATGAGTTTGAAGTTTGGCATTTAAAAAACAGCGCAAACTGAAAGAGAAAGTGCGACCTATATTATAGCTCTATAAATGAAGCACACAGACTGTATTCGAGCCACAGAAAGACAAACGTTTTGCTGAAAATACACAGTTCATTATGTACATTAACAACGATTCGGGACCAATAAAATGTAATTTAAAGGAAAACTATGTGAATGGCGTTCTGTGGCACGGCAGGATTTTCTGTCGGCTGCATTTAAATCCACGTCTGAAGTTTCCCGCTCTGTTCAGCGTGCAGTATCACGTGTCTAAACAAGTAGCACGTGCTGTCAGTGATTTCAACCTCTAGAGGCCGCTCTCGCACTGTGTAATGACAGCAGACCCTTCTCAGCCGTTCCAGCAATAGACGCAACCCGGAAAACTATCGGCATGGATATTTGTCGATAACCGATAGTTCCAACAATCAACTATCGGTGCCGATTAATCGGCAAAACCGATACATTGGTCGACCTCTACTAAACACTGCCAATGCATAGCCATTCATCATATCCAGTGACCTTCACTAATTATCAATATTGAAAGTCTGGACAAAAGTATTTCAAACCTAGACTAAGACTTTGGTCATGTAATGCAAAGTTTTCATCTTTAATAATGTTTGTTCATGTGATGTAGGGCTTCTTGGTGAACCAAACCCCTTTGACCTAAGATATCTCCTTAAAGTAATCTGGGATATCAGTAATTTAACAACATATTTGCATGTTCACGGTTCTCTGATGTTGGTGGTCACATTGACAAATTTGCACTCATTTTAGTTTGACTTTTTTTTAAATTATTTGTCGTTTTAATTTGACATTTTTATATTAGCTGTTCATCAACACCCTATTGTTTTTCCACAAATCCCAGTTTGGGAAACCCTTCTGTCATGTAACGTACGTTTAATGCATTTCATGATATTGATAACAAAAAACTAAATATATTTGCCTTCTTTCTTTATTTTATCAATGTGGTATGCAAAAAATCCCATTCAAGTCTATTTACTATAATGGTTTGGTCAAAAATAATTTAAAAGTAATCAAAGTACTCAGACTACTACATTGCCTAATATGTGTGATCCAGATTATGTTGCTAACTACAATTTTCATCATGTAATTTCTAATCAGTAACAGACACAATTTATAAGTAATCTACCCACCACTGGACTTAAGCACATATTATTATGTAATTTCATAAATACGTCTATCGTCCTTGAATTATGGTTAAACTGTATCTACTGACAAGCATTTATGATAAACTAGAATGTACTTTAATGTAATTTCTATTGAAACTTGTGTCACGTATTTAAATATATTGGTAATGATGAAGTTAAAATTTGGTATATTTAAAGTAAATTACCATGGAATGTATTATAACAGTACAGTTAAAATATAACGAAGTACTTTACATCTGCTTTAGTATGTTAGTCAACACATTGAAGTAAGTATACTTTTATAAAGCACGATAAAAGTTTATTAAAACTTTATTATTTAAAATGTATTTCAAAGCAAACCTTAAAGCTGCAGTCCGTAATTTTTTTTGGGTTAAAAATAACCCGAAATCAATATTTGAGCAAATACATAACCAGCCAGTGTTCAACACTATCGCCTTACTTTAGCCCGTTTCAGAACGGTTCGCTTATAATAATGTTTTCTAATTTGAGTGGTACGGGTAGGTTTTTGTGGGAAATTCGAGCATGGCACTGCGTCATTACGTCACGTCTGTAAACATAAAGAAGTTGTCCCGGCTATTAGGCTATCGCATGTGAGGATCCTGCAGCTGGCCGAGCGTTTATAGCCTTTTCTCACAGCAGCTAGAATAATGAAATGTATTGATGGCGGATTGTAATCCAGAAAGGATTGTGTTTATGAAACACATGTGAATGAAATAAAATTATATTCCAGTTTTAAATGTGCTTCTGATAACAGATAGCCTGGGATTACACAAGATCTGTATTTTAAAGAAAACCAGTTTGAAGGGAGCATAATTAGCTTTTTGGGTTAAAATAATTTCTTCATCTGAAATTCGAAGAGTATGACGATTAGAGATTAAATTGTGCAGAAACTGAAATCACACGCTAATACACACTATTCTCATAGTCACCAATGCGGATGTTAACATTAATAATTTGAGAATAAAGTATAACAATAATAATAATTTGAACGGTTTGATGTGATATGAACTAATTTAGATTAAATCACCATTGGTAGCGAGATTTATTTTAATGCGGTTTTCCTCAGTTGGTCAGAACAAACGTAGCAGACTTGTTACTTACTTGTTCAGATGACAATATCTGGCGAAAATGTTTATTTGGGTCATATATTCCAAAGCGTAGGCTAGAATCTGTGATTGTGAAGTACAGTAAATATTCACACCGGTGCGGTGACTGACTGCCACACATACTCTTCAGAACATTACATTCATCCGCGCTGGAGCCGTGGTGTCGCACAACCCATGCAAGGAAGATAATTCCTCAGACAGCTGCAATTCCAGGTTTTCAAACAGAGATGGCGACAAAGAGGCAAAACTTACTGACTGCAGCTTTAAATACACTTAAGTGGCTCATTTACTGTAATTAAAGGTACAATAGGAGATCTTGGAAAATGCTAACTTTAGCCTGATAGCACTGAAAGCAAACATCCCACCCTCCCTGCAACCGCCATCCAAAGCCACGCCCCTGAACGCATTTACACTCACAGACCAGAATACCAGAGACAACATTACTACAATAGGCTACTTCAGTGGTTCTCAATTCCAGCCCATGTTTCGAAGTGACATAAACTTCAACGGATTTCCCCCGCTCAGGGATTAGGGAGCAATGAACACTGTGTAGGGATCATATCGATCGGAACACAGTTCATGCACGTAGCTCACTTCTAATGAGCTGGCGCAAGGACTAGATTAACCGCTGGGCTACATCGTGTGTCATTCACCGGTGAGAAAACTTTAAAAAATACTACAATACCAGGAAGGAAGATCAGGTTGTTAAGGTTTGTCTGCCATTCTCGCTCTGTCTGCACAGCGTGCGTGAACGCGCTGATGACGTATCCTGTCTGCGCGAACAGGGTGCGCAGAGGTATGATAATACATACGTTGACAGGCAGGTAGGAAAGCTTATTAAAACGCTCGGAACGATAATATTGTGTTATCTGTATATTTAAAATCTTTTTAAAAAGTACAGTTTTATATTGAAGTAGTACGTTTTTTATATAAAATATATACTTTTAAGATGTCAAGTGCACATTCAGTATACATTTACATTTAGTCATTTAGCAGACGCTTTTATCCAAAGCGACAAATGAGGATATATATGTGTGTGTGTATGTATGTATGTATGTATGTGTATATATATATATATATATATATATATATTATATTTCAACATTTACACTGTAAAAAGTTTAGAAATTTACTGTAAAAAAAACTAGCAGATGTGGTTGCCTGAAATTTACCGTAAAAAAATATGGTAACAATATATTTTTTAAAATTATTAAATATTTAAATTCTTATTTAAATTCTCGCTCTCGCTCTCTCTCTCTCTCTCTCTCTCTCTCTCTCTACACTTTTTCACAATATACAGTAATTTATTTACTGTTAACCAAATAACAGGTTTTACCTTAAAATATATTTATATAATTTATAGTATATATAAATATATTTAATATACAAATATAACATATTTTTCTTAAATATATACATGCATGTGTGTGTATTTATATAAACCTAATAACTATTCACAGTACACACACATATATTATGTAAACGACAACTTTTATTTTGGATGCGATTTAATTGTGATTAATTGTTTGACAGCACTAATATATTAGGACTGTCAGTTTAACACGTTAACTTAATTGATTAGTTATGGAAAAATAACGTGATTAAAATATTTTAACGCAGTTAACGCACTGGCCCCTCCCCCAGACCTTTGCGTCATCTTATATTTCATGCAGCTGACTGTTGACAAATATGATGCAGGGCAACAACTCCATTATGCCCCACAATTCAAGATATTGAGGCAAAAAATGCCCCTGTATGAGTTTTTGTCTCATATTTATATCATATGATAAGCGATATCACACAAGCAATGAGAGCAATATCACTCGAGTGCTGTTTTTTGTCACGAAGAACACAAGTGCAAATTTTCCAACGAAAACCTATTACCTATAAAGCCACAGCAGAACTGTTGTGCGTCTCCGAGCAACACAACAGTGTTTAGTTTCTAAATTAATCCTCGTTTTGAACAAATCGTGTGAGTCAATGATTCAGTAGTCCATTCAAGAGAGTCATTTACTTCATTCCTGAATGAATCAGACATTTGAACGAATCAACTCATAAAGACATTTACCGCCACCTGCTGGTAGTTTTACTTTCTTATTTAGAGTATCATTGTGTTTATAAAAATAAAAAATTAAAAACATTAAAGGGATAGTTCAACAAAAATAAATAAATTCTGTCATCATTTACTCACCCTCATGTTGTTTCAAACCTGAATGACTCACTTTCGTTTGCACAACATAAAAGAGGGTATTTTGAATAGCCGACTGTTGGTAACTAAGCTGTTTTGGTCACTAGTGACTTTCCTTGCATGAACAAAAATTCTCAAATTATCTTCTTTTATGTTCCATAGTTTATGTTAGGCCATTGTAGCCTAAACATTTAACACAATAATAGCTTTAAATGATCTTTTTGGGGTATTTTCACAGCCAAATTAATTTGCGATTAATTAGATTAATTAATTTTAAGTTGAAAATTTTAATTCGATTTAAAAAAAATTGAATCGACTGACAGCCCTAATATATATATTACACATACACACACACTCACAAACACGTATGTAACCAATTTGTGAGGTACGAACTGGTTTAATTTAATTTTATTTATTTTAATAATTTTAAGCAATTTCATGCATGTACTAAAAGACAATTCAAAAGACTTTTCATCTATCCTCAAATTCTTCTGAGACTATGGGATTTCTTCCCTAAATATATATATTTAAATAAACATATGAGACAAAGTCAATTCTTAAATGAAACATGAAGGTTTGTGAGCGCAAACTCTGAGCAATGCATCTTCCTCTATGTATAATATAATCTAACTAAGCACACTTCTTTTTCACAAGGGAAAAGCCGGAAGCGCGCTCAGCACACTGTGTATCATAAATGTAATTGTAAAAGCAGTTGACATGTGTCTTCTTCAGATGGGAACACTGGAAGCTTCTGTCTAATCTGAAGACGACCGTTGAAGGGCTGCTGTCCACCAACAACCCTAACGTGTGGTCCCGCTATGGGGGTCTTCAGCGCCTGCACAAGGACATGAACAACATCCTGGGCCACGGCCTCAAGCACGAGCAGGTGTGAAGGAACATGAGCGTTTTTCTTCAAAGTACCTAGAATATCCTGTGGTGACGGCAAGATTAAGTTTAAAACAGCAGCCTGAGTTACCAGGAACTGTTAGACGCAAGTAAGCTCTGTGGCTAATCAGACGAGGAAGAGTGTTTTTAAGTTTCGTTACTACTTTGTTTTACTTTCTGAACCTAACTGGAGATAAGAAATGATGGCCTCTGTGGCCTTTCCAACAAAGAAAATATTGTGTTAGTTTATAGATTAACGTCATGAAATCTACATCGGGATTATTATACACTGCTGGCCAAAAGTTTCTGGCCGGTAAGGTTTTCTTAAAACGTTTTTGACAAAAGTCTCTTCTGCTCAACTAGCCTGCATTTATTGGATCAGGAAAGCACTAAAACTGTAATATTGTGAAATATTGTTACAATTTATAATAACAAGTTTTATATTTTTTCGTTATATTGTAAAACATATTTTATTCCTGTGATGCAAAGCTGAATTTTCAGCATCATTGCTTACTTCAGTGTCACATGGCGGTCACATTTTAAAATATGAAAAAAACAGAAAATAGTTGTAATAATTTTTCACAATATTACTGTATTTTTACTGCATTTTTGACATAAATTCAGCCTGGGTGAGCAGAAGAGACCTTTTTCAAACCCAGCAGTGTTTCTATGAAAATCTCTAGTTTTTATATATTTAAAGTCAGCATTAAATATAAATTCATATCTATTTTCTAAATGCACTTTATTAATTTTATTGTGAATTGAGCATGTCATTTTTTAATTGCCTTGTCATGACTCAATCTTCTGTTACCTCAATTTAATTGTTCCATTTAATTGTTTTTATGTAGTGTTTTATTAGTTATTTTTACAAATACAATACAATAAAATACCCTTTTTTATTTTTACTCGACCTATAGATATAACTTTGTCAGTCAGATGCCAATCAGATTACAAACAACTGCTGCTTCATTTTACTTTAAATGTAAATTTTGCTATAATAATTTTATTTAAAATGTTAGATTTTTAGTTTTAGACATTTTTGTTGTTGTTTAAATGTAACACTTTTGTTTTATTTAAAAATTTTAATTTATTTTAATTAAATTTTTTTCTCTTTTGTTGTTAATAACAATGTTGTCAAGCACAGAAGTGAGCAAACACATTTTTAATGTGTGAATCATTGCGCTGTGGTACAGGATCAAAGTTGGTTATTTTGTTCTGCAGATTTACTGTAAACAAAAAGACTACTGGCGGTTCGTGTGGTGTGTGCGGTATCTCTGTCCTCATCTCGCCCGTCACGTAGAACAGGTATTTGACAATGCAGTGAGTATTTCCCACGTGAAGCTTGTTTTGACCTTGTCAATGAGATCTTTGACTCCTTGTTCTCTCTCGTTGCAGTTCAGTCAGCTGGAGCCGGTGTTGAGCAGTGGTGTTCAGTGCTTCGGCGAGGGTTATAAAGCTGAGCGTTGGCTTCTACACAGCCTCCAAGGTCACATCTTATCTGCCCAGCTCAAACCGCTGCTGCAGCATAAGACAAACACACAGAAATATTACAATGGTAACTCAACATCCTCCAAACCTTTAGCATCTTCACTTACGTATGCATCTTTCCTGTGTGTGGTAATGTTGTTGGCTGTCCTCTTCTGTAGACGGGGCCTTCCTGTTGAGTGAACCACACGTGTCTGCCATGTTCCAGTGTCTGGAGGCCGTAGAGCAGAATAACCCTCGGCTGCTGGCTCTCATAGACACCGGCGGGGTGAGAAACTTGCCGTCCTGGTAGAGGAAGTCTGAAGTTGATTCATTTTAGTAAGGTTTTTTTTTCCACATTGTGATTCCAGAGGATGTGATTAAGCATAACAAAGAAGATAAATGTTTTTCCTGGTCTTTGTTGCATCCGAACAGTGATGGAAACTCGCCAGACCTAAAGGGATCGTTCACCCAAAAATGAAAATCTTGTCATCATTTACTCACCCTCAAGTTGTTCCCGACCTGTATGAGTTTCTTTCTCATGCTGCACGTAAAAGAAGATATTTTGATGAATTGGGGTAACCAGACAGTTTATTGTGTGAACTGTCCCTTTAAGTCACAAATCAATATTAACTTAGTTTGTAAACAATTGACTTGAGACTTTTTTTTAGCAGTGTTGATATCATTAATTAAAAGTAGGACTGTCAATCGATTACAATTTTTTTTGATCTGATAAATTATGCAATGTTGCGATTAATTGCAATTAGGGATGGGTACCGAAACCCGGTATTTAATCGGTCCCGTGGCTAAATTATGAAAGACCGGAGTATCGATAAGCTCTGACGTTAACAGTTCTGCTATCAGTACTGGAGAAATTAATAAAACACACATACATTTATTATTGCTATATATACATTATCTTGCAAATTCTATCTCACCAGAGTCACCAGCTGTTTTTCAAACATTTGTCTATGATGCATTTTTGCTATTCGCAGTTCAGAAGCAAGATCGCGCCCACGTGGAGGAGCTTCAGCACGCGCAACATGAAAGCTCTGTTTCATTATGATAGAAGAGAGAACTAAACATTCAAACATCTGCTTACACTTTAGGCCTGTGGCGGTTTTATTAAACTAATTTAATTTTTTTATTTCGATTTTGGCTTCTAAGGATTATACAAAAGAAGACATGAGGTAAAGCTATTAAAAACTAGCTGCGTTTCGTATTGCGCAACTTCTTTCCCTTCACAGCGGTGCGCATTCGTTCCTCCCTAAAACCCAAACTTAACATCAGAATCAGATCAATCGGTGATTGTTGTAAGATGCCGTCTTTACTGTTGCTAAATTGCGGGACATATTTGATAAAATATTGAAAGCACAATCCACACAAGAAACGCTGTTCCTCAGGCCGAAATGTGTGCACGCGGCGCGCTCCAAAATGGACAAACAAATTACACTTTGAGCTTCGGGTGCATGTCCAATCGATCAGATATACACAAAATATGTCCAAATGGCCAGCTTGGAGAGTATTTACTTAAACACAGTTTATGTCTTAAGTGGAGGAGAACAGTTGGGAGAAAATCCGATGTGTGTCAATATTGTCTTAAAGTGACAGACTAGAGCTTGGGCCATCAAAATGCAAATTTGCTCTTAATCTGAATAACGTTATAGCTTTAATAAGCATTAATCTATCAATACATACACTGAAAACTATGCAGTG